ATTTTTAGCATGTCAACATTTCATAATTGAAAGCGTGTAAAAAAACAACAAAACTACGCGAGGCGTCTCATTATTTGGGGGCGGTGGTGGTGGTTTCCGTCCACAAATAGCTAAAACAATCTTACGATACGAAACAAGCAACCGCATTTTTGCCTCACAGGTGTCTGAAATTACCAGAAAATTGATATTAAAAATCCAATTTTGCCGCCCTTACATTTCATTTAATCCTTTGAGGTTACAAGGAAAAGCTTTATGGTTGAGCCCGTTTATTTTTTTCGCCACCATCTATGATGCACGACATCGGATGGACTTTAATGTATACGGTAAAGTTCGAAGTTTCGTTTTATTCCTTGACTGTTCATGTAGCGAAAACTACCCCCTTGGGCCTCCAATCGTAAGTACATTGATCGTTTTATCTCTACACTATTTTTATTCACAAACCAAAACAATCCACCTCAAGTTTGCCTAAGCTAAACTAAAGTAAAGTCCATCGTTCGATAGTACCTACATGTGATGATAATAACAGGTCATTATAGTCAAGATTCTTACTATATATGTACCTTATTCCGTGCTAATTTTCAAGACTGTAGAAAAGTTCTTTTCATAGCAGCTTCCTAAGTAAAGTAGAGTGTGCAATTATCTCTCGCTCCGCTAGGTGCGCTTCATCACGCCGATCTACCACCTGAACGTGAGTCAGACTAGCGGCCAGGTGTGTCTCCGCTTCCTGGCTGAAGATGAGTGGGTGGCAGGAGGAACCATTGAACAGGTAAGGAATCATCACGTAGACTACCTTAGGTACAGAAAGTCAATTTTATTGTCATTCCTTTTCAGTAAGTTGCATCCTCCATTGCAACTACCATTTACCAAGTGGAGATATGACGCCAAAATATGACGCCTTACGCGACGGTCACAACCCGCCGTGCGTGCTTTTTGTCCGTAAAGCCTCGGTCACAACTCGCCGTAAGTGCTTCTGCGTGCTGTCTACGTGCAAAAACGTGGGCAAACGTACGGCATCCGTGCGTGGTGAGTACCGCCTCCGTACGGAATCCTACGGATTTGGGAGCACGCAGACACGCCGTAGAACCTTAAGTGCATGTAATACTTTTTCTACGTGCGGTCTGCGGATTTACCACCCGTGCGTGCGAGTACGTGCGACGCGCGTGCCCCGTACAGCCTATGAGCGTGCAACGTACGGACTCCGTGAGTCTAACTTCACTATTCTCACGTGCAATTGCTGTACGGACAGCGCACGAAGCACGTGCGTGCCACGCACGGTGCTTGCGTCATCCGTGCTTACTCCTCACTTCCCAGTTGACCTGCTCAATGACCACGCAGAACACACGTGCACCATACTAGGTGCTCCGCACGTGCAACGCACGTGCAACGCACCTTATTTCTACCGT